GCTTCATCTTTTGCTAATATAGGTCTTTGACTTTTTTCTACTACGTCTATCTATTCTTTTGTAATTTTTAAAGGACTTATTCAGCTTCCCAATCACATAGGCAGATCACTGACATGTGCTGCAGACATTACTAATCAATCATGGGATTGTTTCCCACTGAACCCAGAGGCAGGCTCAGAATCCATCTCAACACAACACTTCCCCCAGCCCCCAAATAACTGCTACCAACCTTTCAGAGCCGACATCTGAGATGAACTCTATTGGGCATTGTTGGCATGAGCTGAGTATGGGAAGGAAATGACCACAAAGGAAGGCTAAGTGACAGAATGTGCCCTTCCAATCCTGTCACAGGGTGGTATACACTCTTCACCCTGACCTTCCATGGTGGTCACTCTACCATCAAAGAGACCAGCTCCTTCTAACAGCCAGAAAACCACCATCATTGAATGAGTGAAGAAGAGAGAATGTTCAAGAGACCCAATAAGTCTGTGAAGTCACAGGACCAGACACAAGCACGTCCCTTACTTACCTGATGGGAATGATGTTGGAAAACAGCAGAAGGAACCGGATGATCTGTAGGTACCAGCGGCCAGCAAAATGTTGCAGGGCAACCATGACCAGGGACACCACGACCAAAGCGCCAAAGAGGATCTTTGTGAGGCAGTTCACTTCCAGGTCAAACAGGCCAATCTGTTGGGGCCAGGCACAGAGACAAAGTCGGGTTACTAGGTGCGATCCACAGTCCACCTGGAGAACTAAACCTTTACCATCAACCCCTGGGAATACTGGGCTCTGTGGCCCACAACTTGTAACAGACACCCAAGGGACCCCGGAGAACTTGGATTTGGAATTCATTTTATGATGTAAGAAGATTTAGCCTGGGAAACAAGCAGACTTCTGCCACATTCAGTGGTGCAGTGTATTCCATACCCCCTACAAGCCGTTTCCATGGCCCTGTGAAATGACTCAGGACTTGCACCAGTGTTGTTTTGTACTCACAGCCACCCCACATAGCAGAGTACAACCATCCCATGGGGTCCCTAGGGTGCAGTCTTTGTGGAAGCGGACTGCCACACCTTTCTCCAGGGGAGTTACTTGTTGTTAAGTGCCATCGAGTCAGTTCCAACTCACAGTGACCCTGTATAGGGTTTCTGAAGAGTGGCTGCTGAGTTTGAACCATCGACCTTGTGGTTCAAACCGACCTTGTGGTCTAGCGCTTTGTCTCACAGCGGAGCCACTAGGTGGATGCAAATTGCCAAGCTTTTGCTTAGCATCAGAACACTGAACCACTGCACCAACACAGGTCTTTTTGTTGTTTTTTACTTTTACAAAATCTTAGAAACCTTTACTAAACAAAAGTATCAAAATCTGAAGCTCTTGTTTCTTGACATATCCTCTATCTAGACTGGTATTTTTCTCTCTCTCCTTTTTTTTAATGATAAGTGCATTTACCATGTAAGGTTATTACAACGATCAAAATGCTTGTAAGATGCTCCTTTTCAGTTTATTTATCTAATAAAATAAATATGCATTGTTTTCCTTCAAGTACATTAAAAAATAAATAAATAATAAGGAAGCAATTTCCTTCCCTTTCTTTTTAACTCCCTTTGTAGTACAATCCAACACACGGATTTAGTACTGATTCAAAGTTTGGAGCACACACCCCTGGTGAAACCAGATTTTTAGGTGCAACCTGAGTGGACAGTATGAAGTTAATAATCAGATGTTTACTCTCATGTAGAGTCAAGAAAAGCAACAGTAACTAGCACATCCCAGTCATAACTTCAGAGGCTCATGGCCCAGGACGAGGCTTCAACGTTGAATACGTGATGCTGTAGTTGCAATGATGGTTGTAATGGAGGCCTGGAAATGACTGCATCTGAGGGAACATGGCACCAGTTCATGCTCTGACAAGGGAGACAGTTGGTAATGTTCTGATCCTTACACGCTAGAAGCGGGATGGGTGGGTAACACACATGGTGTGAACAAAGCAATGACAGGGTCTTGAACAGACCACAGGTATGACACCTTAGGATGTGTGAAGGCCTGTGGTTCAGCTTGGCTGCCCACCTAGCCTCCTCACACCAGCCCTGGGAACTGTATAGACTGGGTGGAGTATCAGGCTCTCGAGCCACTTTCTTGTGTATAAAGTGAGGGTAATACACTGGACTACCAGGTTCGTTTGAAATGCAAGGTCAGTGGTTCAAACTCACCAGCCACTCCTCGGAAACCCTATACAGGGTTGCTATGAGTCGGCAGCAACTTGACGACACTTAACAACAACAACAAAGGAAGCATCTTTGTTCACAGGCTGTTGAGAGTATGAAACAAGAGTCAGGTCCAAGGGCAGTAACCCCTGGCCCATAGGGAGCACTCAGGAGTGGTTTGAACTTAAAAGCTTTACAATATTTACAAACTCAGACCCAAACTGATCCCTGTTATCAAGTCGATTCTAACTCATAGTGACTTTGGATAGAGTTTCTGAGGTTGCAAATCTTTACAGGAGCAGAAAGCCTCATCTTTCTCCTGCTGGTGGGTTTGAACTGCCGATGGGATGGTTAGCAGCAGTCTTGTGCTTATCCTACAGAGCCACAGCAACCCACATAATCAGGGGGTTTAAAAAGTTCATGGGAAAATTCCATTCTTTTTGGTTTTGGCCAAACTTTTTACTTAATATTCTGTAGTTGTCTGGTACACACATAAGTGGTCTCAATGGGTGGGAGGGAGGAAAGGGAGGCTCTTGATGATTTACAAGGAAATACCAGAAAGGCAAAATAAGCCAGCATTATCCTTTTGTGTGGGGTTTACTGGATGAATAGCACTTTCTTAAAAAGCCCATTATCTTTTCATTCTATTTTCCCCCAAACTTGTTAGAAGCCCCCTAGTCTATGCACTGTATGTATTTACAGACAACAGATGGGGAGGCAACCGTATACATAAAATAACGCTGCTAAGGTGTTGCTCGTTTTAAGTCCAGTTTCTCTCTTCATCAATAGCGGTCATCAGAGTCCACCTGCTGATGCCATTCTGACAAGGAAATGCAGTCTGTTAGACTCTGACATACCTTACTTCGGGGATTTGAGGTATTCATGACACTTCGGAGTTCTCTGCCCGTATAAAGAACGACACCCACGACTGTGCCTAAAATGAGAGAAACAAACCCGCAGAAAAATGAAGACACAGGAGTGGTCCTACAAATGACCCACTTGGGCCTGCTTAAACCCATGTTTTCCGAAACCAACAACTATACCATGAGGATGCCAAAAATTGTCTGCTGGGGCCAGCCAGTCAGTCATCTATGGATATGCTGAGCAGTGTGGTAGCTGCTAGCCACATGTGGCTATTTAAATTAAAGCTCAATTAGCATAAAATAAAATCTAGCTGCCTAAGCATAGTGGTTAAGAATCAGACTGCGAACCTTAAGGTCAGCAGTTCGAAACTACCAGCTGTTCCGTGGGAGAAAAATGAAGCTTTCTGTTCCCGTAAAGATTTACAGCCTCGGAAACCCTGTACAGGGTCACTATCAGTCAGAACCGACTACACGGCACGTAACAACAAACAACAACATCCTCATCAGCCAAGGAGCTCTGGTAGCATAGTGGTTACGAATTGGGCTGCGAACCGCAAGGTCAGCAGTTCGAAACTACCAGCTGCTCCGCGGGAGAAAGATGAGGCTTTCTGCTCCCATAAAGATTCACAGCCTCGGAAACCCTGTACAGGGTCACTATGAATCGCAACTGACTCCACGACGCATAACAAAAACAACCTCCTCATTAGCCACATTTCATGAGCTCATTAGCTCTAAGATGGGAGAGCAAAGCTCAGAGCGTTTCTGTTACCATATGAAAGTTCTATGTTGTTGTTAAGTGCCCTCGAGTTGATTCCTACCCATAGTGACCCTGTATAGGGTTTCCAAGGAACAGCTGGTGAGCTTGAACCATGGACCTTGCAGTTCAAATGACTTTGCAGTCTGACGCATTAGCCCACCAGGACTCCTAGAAAGTTCTATTGTTGTTATTAAGTGCCATGGAGTCAGTTCCAACCCATAGTGACTCTGTACAGGGTTTCTGAGGCTGTACATCTTTACAGGAGCAGAAAACCTCATCTTTCTCCTGTGGAGCAGCTGCTAGTTTCAAACTGCTGACCTTGAGGTTAACAGCCCGATTCGTAACCACTACGCTACTAGAGCTCCTTAGGACAGCACCTATCTATGGAGTCCCAAAACAGCTGCCTCGGGCCAATTCCAATTTGTGGCAACCTCGAGGGTTTCTGAGGAGAATTACACTCCATGATGGGTTCTTTAATATCTGTGATCTTTCAGGTCGATCACTCGGCCTTTTGAGGTACCTCTGGGTAGATTCAAACGGCTAACCTTTCAATTAATAACCAAGCACTTAATTTGGCACCACCTACGTACTCCTCAATGGGGTCCAGCAGCCTCTGAAAGCAGGAAACCTGGAGCAGGGGTCTTTACTGCACCATGACATTGACCTTAGAGAGTTCCAGAGGTGAACCAAACATTCCTTTATTCATAAATCATTACAGCAGTTCATGAAAACACTTTTCTTTTTAGAGTATAGTCTTTCCATCCAATCCAAGTCTTCCTAGACTCTGTGTCTACCCATTCAGGGGACTTCTAGCCAGATAACAATTCTCCTTTCCTACGAACTTCTCTCTGCCCACCCAGGGCACGATATTGAAAGATATGGACTCCTCTAAAAATAAACAACTTGTAAGAAGAAAAGGGAGAGAACAAACAAGATGGCGGATCGGGTGGACGTATAGCAGAGAGCTCCACCAACAACACAGAATACCCGAACAAGCAGGCTTAGGGGATGGTCCCAGAACTCTGAACCACATATAAAGGAATACTCAGAAGGTTGGAAGGCTCACAGCTGGGGGAATTTGTGGCAGAAGCAAGAAATCTATTGCTTTCTAGTCCGGGATGCTCGGCTGCTCCAGGAGCCGCCATCTTGGGTGAGACCACGTGAGGGAAAGATCGGAGCAGCCACAGACGCCTGGCAGAACCGCTGAGATAAAGGTGTGGACAAATTCTTCTCTTTTGGTAGCTGTTCATTGGTCCCTTGCTGTCTGCGCACCTCCATTCTGGTGACTATAGGGGTGCCTGAGCTAGTGGGCACCCCAGCCCCACCCTCAGAGGGTTCTACTACGCATGCGCACAGATCTCTTCGAAATTTAAAGAAGAAAAGTGAGAAGATACAACTATAGTTCTTTATATGTCAGGAGCAAAAGATAAAGAAGGAAATCTAAAAGTGAGAGAAATAATTATATGATTACTGTCTCTTCTACTCTGAGACCCAAAGAACTTGTATGGTACCCACCCAGCTACCCCCAATGGAATGCGCTGGTCAGGAGCACAACAGAAGAATCCTGACAATAAGAGAGAGAAATGTGAAACAGAACTTCAAGGTCTGAAACAATTCAAACTTACTGGATCCCAGTGAGGCTGGCAGAGTCTCCAAGACTACAGTTGAATTGCTCCTCAAACCCTGAATTGAAACTATTCTCTGAAGTCACCTTTAAACTAAGCATTAGCCCAAAGAGCAAAATTGTCACCCTTGAATATTACATTTCTTTAAAAAAACAACAAATCTGTGTTAAGACCAAAGGATCAGCAGTTATAAAGCAGAGCTGAGGGAATGGGGAAGCAGGGAGGTGACGTTAATAGCTATGAAACAACAGACGAGAAATGAGGAGAATGTCAACACAATGTGTAGGGGGCAGCCACTGGCCACTATGTCTAGAAGCTGGGGAATGGGAACAGGCTTTGCTGTGGCTATTTTCACCAAAACTACATTTTAAAAAGTAAAAAAAAAAGGGAACACAAATGGCCAATTAATAGTGCAAAAGATGTCCAACTTAGTAAATAATCACAGGACAGTTAACTAAGCCATTTTTATCCTCAGGATAAAAGAGGGGAATGGACAGACACACTGGACACAACAATGCGCTCAAACACAGTCATGATGTGAGGATGGGGGCAGGACCGGGCAGTGTCTCATTTCAACGCAACGGCACCTACAAACAACAGACTGACGGACATTCAAAAGACTGATGAGACCCAATGTTGGTTAAGACTAGAGGAGACGGACCTTTTCCTAAACACTGTTGGCCCAAGTGCGCACTGACCCACTCGTTTTTGTTTAGGGAAACTGGCAATATCTGTCCAAAGTCTGTCTACATGTACCCTTACCAAGGTATGCCCAGATGATGTTCGTTTTGCCATGGGGAAAACAGCTGAAGAGGGAAACCAAGTGACGCGGTCATCAAGAAAAATGACAGCTGGGAGGAAGAGAGGCCAGAGGGAGGAGACTAGTTTGCTCTGGGTAATCAGAGATGATGACCTGTGGGCTAGAGCTTGGAACCCGAGAAGAAGTCAGCCCTGCCAAGCTCTCCGGGAAGATCCGGCGTACAATTTCACCTCTGCTGGAAACAGCAATACGGACTCTTCTCTCCCCGGGGTCTCAGAAGTGACTGTGTGGGGGTATTGCAGGTGCCCTTCCAGACCACCACCATACAGCAAAGGTCGCCAGAAAGTGAGCCACACAGATGTTTTGGTTTCCCAGTGCTTACAAAAGCGAAGTTGGCATTGTTCCATAATTTCTTCAATTGCATTATGAAAGACTTTGGAATATTGTGAGAATGAACAAAACATGATACTGAGACACCAAGTGCACACACGCTGTCAGGAAAACGATGTCGAAGAGACAGTGTTGCCAGAAACCTTCAATTTGTACAAACCGAAGGACCTGCAAAGAGCAGTAAAGGAATCACACGACTAAGAATCCAGAGGTGGAGACCCATGTACAGCAAAAGTGCCCAAGCCCCCATCGAACGCCGTGACTGTCTCTGAGCAGAGAGCCTCGGAGAAGGCGCCAAAGTCCCTCAGGTCTGAAGGCCCAGCCAGGTGAATGACACCAATCCCTGCAGGATACGGTTCCTGCCAGGAGGCTCTCAGCAGATGGCAGGCCCGGAGGCTGGCCTGCGTTTCAGCAGATGGCAGGCTGCCGTGGATACAGGCAGCAGGTCCCTCGGGCCCCATTGTCCCAGCCGATGGAGGGACAGAGGAGTCAGCACCGCTCACACTGCCCCCAATACAGCTCTCTCAGTCTCAGACCCAAGGTCCAGAGCTAGAGAAGATTCCTAATAACAGGGTGCCTCAAAGTGGAGTGTTCCCCCACAGTCCCAGCAAACCTTGATGCTTGAAAACACTGTTCAAAATGGCCTCTTGCAGCCAACACTTCCCCGTCCTCAAGACAAAAGCAAGATGCCGAGTATCTTCACCACACACTTGCCCTAAATGTCACGACCACCCAGAGAGGAAACACCGCCTGACAGTCCACAGATGTGCACTGTTGCGTGGGCCCAGTGTTTTAAAGGCGTCGACTTACTTGTCAACCTTTAGAATTAGGAATTTCATGGAAAACATGGAGATTTCCAGCTTCTCCTGGAAAACTGGTAGATGAAGTAACCCAGGTATAATCAGCTGGAGTGGAATAACAGCCACACTCTGCATTCAGTCATGTGAGCTGGAGCTCAGCTTCCACCCAGCCCCAGCCCCATCTGTAACTCCAGCCTCCTGACCCCTGCTTCCTATCTGCCATCTTCTCCATCCCTTCTTGATCTCATCCCCCTCTCCATTCCTCCTCTCTACAGCCTGCAGATCCGTTCTCCCAGTCGGTGCTCCGCTGGTTTCTCTCTCTCTCTCTTTTTTTTTTTTTTGGTTGCTCATTCATTCACACATCTATCTGATTAGTTGTAAAGGAACTATGGCAGAGAAAGCCATAAGCCTGCAAGGGAACAGTCTCGAACTAATACATCCCAAGACAGTTAAGATTGTCCAAGTCTCACAGTCCCTGTCCTGAATATGGCACCCTTAGCAGGGGCTGACGTCAGGCACTGTAGTTGTTGCTAGGTGACGTTGAGTCAGTTCCAACTCCCAGCAACCTTCTGTATAACAGAACGAAACACTGGCAGGTCCGGCACCAGTCTCACCATTGTTGTTAAGTCTGGGCCCACTGTTGTAGCCACTATGCCAATCCATCTCAACGATGGCCTTAGGTACTGTCGTTGTCGTTGTTAAGTGCCTTCAAGTCGATTCCAACCCATAGCGACCCTGT